GCAGCAGCAGCAGCAGCAGCAGCAGCAGCTAACGCAAGCGAGCATCGGCATTTTGGACGCGTCCATGTCGGCAATCCCGTGTGGATGGTCGCCGTCGTTTCTCACGCGAAAAGGCAAGCACCACCCCGCGCATGCGCCAGCAGCGTCCTCGCCGAGCTTGGCAACTTCCGCCAGCAGCAAAGGCGGGGGAGAAGCCGGGAGCGGGAAAATGGCGAGCCATTGGATAAGAGAATTGCGCACCGACTCGGCCACCCAATTCGCCCGCCAGTGTGGCGCTCGAGCCGTCTCAAGATCTGTGCTTGAGCTAGATGACGCTCGTTCAGTATTTCTCCGATCGCGTCTCGCTCCCCTCCGCCTAGCCCTCAGCATTCGCCTTGCTTTCGAATGTCTCTCTGTCTCTTTCTCTGTGCATGTGACTGTGACAGTGACAGTGACAGTGATCTGGGTGAAAGGTAGGAGAATCACGCCGGGGCAAGGCTGGCCGAGCTCAGTCGGGAGCGAGCCGGACAGAGGCGATGCGTAGGGTGCATGCACGCCGGTGCGGAGAGAGATGCACGCACTTTGATTCTGGGGTTAGAGCGCGCTTGCCTAGCTCGATGGGGTCACAGCCAGGGCAGGGCAGCAGAGCGCAATGCGAAAAAGCTTGCAAAATCCCGCCTGCCCATCGGCACATCCGGAGTGTGATGTGCTCTTGGAGGGAGGGTAAATTTTTCGCCCTTTTTTTCCAGCCAGACCTGGATATGGCGCGCGATTCTCGCTTGTCCCGACTGCGCTCTGGAGCCGCTTTTTTTTCTTCGCCAGTCGCAAGGGGCAACCCAGAGGGAGAGCGAGAGAGCGAGGGTGGGACGGCAGCCGCTCCAGCCTTCAAGCCCGAAGCTAGCCATCGTTGAGGCTCTTGTCTCTGCTCTTCTCATCGTGTGCCACCGCCTGACCCTTTCGGCCATTCCGCACTGGCAGTCGCTCTCTCGACCACTTTCGCCTCTCTGCTCCTCGTCACACGCATCGCATCACCCGCATCAGCTGTGCCTCCGCACCAGCACATTCTCTCCTCCTCGCCCACTTGCGCCTCCTCTCGCACCGACCTCATCCGCCGCCGCCAAGCTTCCGCCGCCCGTGTACCTGTTCATCCGCCGCTCATCATCGGTCTCTCTCCGTCTCTCATCGTCGTTGTTTGCACTGACCTCTTTTCTCCCTTCCCACACACCATCCAAGTCCTCGGCCAAGCTCCGTATTCGCCCGTCATCTAGCTTGCCGACTCCCTTCTCCTCCTCCTCCCCATCACTCGTCACCGACCCTTCCCCTGCCTAGTCGTGGCGACCACCCGCAACCATGTACGCCTCCGCAGTCCGAAGGTCCGCCACCTTCACCCTCGCCAATGGCGCCCAGATCCCCAAGCTCGGCTTCGGAACATGGAAGATGTCCAAGGAAGAGGCCGCGCCCGCCGTCGCCCACGCGCTCAAGGCCGGCTTCCGCCACCTCGACTGCGCCTGGGCCTACCGCAATGAGGACGCCGTCGCCCACGGCATCAAGCAGGCCGGCATCAAGCGTGACCAGCTCTGGATCACCTCCAAGCTCTGGAACAGCTTCCACGACCCAGAACACGTCGAAAAGGCGCTCGACGACACGCTCAAGGACCTCGGCACAGACTACCTCGACCTCTACCTCATGCACTGGCCCGTCGCCTTCATGAACGCAAACGGCGCCATGGTCCGCTCCATCCGCTCCACCGGCGGACACCCCGTCGAGGACACCGAGCTCTCGCGCGACTTCATGGCCACCTACCGCGTCATGGAGGAGATGGTCAAGAAGGGCAAGGTTCGCAACATTGGCGTCTCCAACTTCAACATCCGCCGCATCAGCGAGGCCACCGAGTCCGCCGAGATCAAGCCCGTCGTCAACCAGGTCGAGGTCAACCTCGGCGTGCACAACGACGAGCTGCGCAACTATGCGCACGCTCACGGCGTCACCCTCCAGGCCTACTCGCCCTTCGGCTCCAACCAGAACGCCGCAAAGTACCTCGAGGACCCCGTCGTCATCGACGTCGCCCAGCGCAACAACATCACCCCGGCCCAGGTGCTCCTCGCATGGACGCTCGGCCGTGACATCATCCCCATCACAAAGAGCGTCACGCCTTCGCGCATCGAGGAGAACCTGCGCGTGCTCGACATCCAGCTGCCCGAGGAGGACATTAAGCACCTCACCGACGAGGCGCTCAGCCGTCCCATCGAGAGGACTGTCGACCCCACCGAGGGCTGGGCCGTCCAGGACGAGATCTTCGAGGACGGCATCGACCAGACGCGCGAGATGGAGCTCAAGGGCGGCGCCTACGTCCCGCCTCCCGCCCACGAGTCGCCCATCGAGCACCGTCTCGAGCCCCGCAACGACCCCGAGACCCCCTCGCGCCAGTTCCACACCTCGGCACACCCCATGGCCGCCTCCTCGTCGTCGTCCAGCAGCAGCCGCCGCCCCACTGCCATCCAGGCGCGCCTCTCGCCTCGCTCCGGCTCCAGCTCCGGCTCCTCCTTCTTCCGCAGCTTCGCCTCCTCCAGCCGCTCCGCCGCCGTCGCAGAGGTGCAGCCTCCCACCGCATCCGAGGCGCCCGTCGTCAGCACCAGCCCGCTTCTTCGCACCACCACCGACTCGGCCATCGCCACCCCCGGCCTCCGCTTCACCGACCGAGAGTCCAACATTGAGAGAGAGACCAAAAAGATGAACATGTACACGGTGCGTACCTTCTCCACATCCGCCGCCTCCCGTGCCTCGGTTTCCGCGTCCCCTTCCGCTTCCTCATCTGCAGCTGCACCAGCACCCACCTCGTCGTCGTCGTCGCGCACCTTCCCGGATAAGAAGGCGTTCCTGTACGAAAAGTACCTGCGTCTCTTGCGCGACAGCCCCATGGTGCTGGTGCTGCAGCACAACAACCTCAGCGTCGCCGACTTCTCCAAGCTCCGCGCTGATCTCGCCGCCATCAAGCTGCCCGAGGGCGAGGCGGCGCGCGCCAGCCTCACCGTCGTGCGCGCCGGCCTCATCAAGGCGGTCACACGCGAGCTCTCGGCAGACAACCCCGCCATGGCTCAGCTCCAGCCCGCGCTCAGCGGTCCGATTGCTTTGCTGACGTGCCCCCATCTTACCCCTGCGTACCTCAGCGCGCTGTTTAACGTGGTCGACCGTGCGCTCGGCCATGCGCCGCCGCGTGCGCCGGCTGCGGGACAGTCGTTCCCCGCCGTCGCGGTGGCCAACCCGCGTCTGGTGCCGCTCGCCGCCGTGCTCGAGGGCAACAGACTCCTCCCGGTGCCTCAGACCCGCGACGTCGGCAGGATCGGCAGCCTGGACCAGCTCAGGGCACAGATCGTCGGCCTCCTCAGCGCGCCCGGCCAGCAGCTGGCCGGCGTGCTCTCGCAGGCCTCGGGCTCCCAACTCGCGCTCACCCTCGAGGGCCGCAAGCGCGACCTCGAAGCGAAGCAGCAGTAGGCGTAGTCCGCGTCGTGCTTGCCTGTTCGTGCTCCTCCCCGTTCCTCATGTAGCTGTACATCATCGTGCTCGTCGTTCCCCCTCCCCTTCATTAGTATAGATCTGCACCGCCAACAGACCACATTACTCGCTGTCCGTTCGGTTGGCTCTCTGCACTGTGTCTGCACGGCTCTTGGCTCTCGTTGAGGCGGACTGGGGATATGCTGACGCTTTGCACTTTTGCTCTCACCCTTGCTAGGCGATCCGCGATGCGCAGGCGCACGTGCTCGCCGCCGATCCGACGGCGTGCGTGTTTGGCGAAGACGTTGCGTTCGGCGGTGTCTTCCGTTCGACTATGGGCTTGGCCGAGGAGTTCGGCCGTGACCGCGTATTCAACACGCCGCTCACCGAGCAAGGCATCGTGGGCTTTGGCATCGGCATGGCCGACATGGGGCACACCGCCATCGCCGAGGTGCAGTTTGGCGACTACATCTTCCCGGCGTTTGATCAGATTGTCAACGAGGCGGCCAAGTACAACTACCGTTCGGGTGGGCAGTTCAGCGCAGGGAAGCTGACCATCCGCGCGCCGTGCCAGGGTGTCGGACACGGCGCGCTGTACCACTCGCAGTCGGTGGAGCAGTTCTTCATGCCCGTGCCGGGGCTCAAGGTGGTGATCCCGCGCAGTCCGATCCAGGCCAAGGGACTGCTGCTCTCGTCGATCCGCGACGAGAACCCGGTGGTGTTCCTGGAGCCCAAGATGCTGTACCGCAGCTCGGTGGAGCAGGTGCCCGTGGACGACTTTACCATCCCGCTGTCCGAGGCCGAGGTGGTGCAGCCGGGTGAGGATCTGACGCTCATCAGCTGGGGCGCGCCGCTGTACGCGTGCATCGAGGCGCTCGACGTGCTGCGCAACCCGCCGGCGGCGATCGCCAAGCACTTCCCCCAGGCGGTGCGCAGCGCGAGCGTCGAGGTGATCGACCTGCGCACCATCCTGCCCTGGGACCGCGAGACCATCACGCGCAGTGTGGCCAAGACGGGCCGGTGCGTGATTGTGCACGAGGCACCCGTGACCGCGGGAGCCGGCGCCGAGATCGCTGCGCACGTGCAGCAGAACTGCTTCCTCAACCTCGAGGCGCCCGTGGCGCGCGTGGGTGGCTGGGACACGCCCTTCCCGCACGTCGGCGAGCTCTTCTACAAGCCCGAGGCCATCCGCATCGCCGACGCGCTCGTCAAGTCGCTCACCTACTAGACCCGTCCATCCGCGTTCTCAATTGGCATCTTTTCGCCCAGACCCTTGATCAGATCGGATGAGGTTTGCGCGTTGCAGAATGTGAGGTGGATACAAGTACAGACGGGGGACAGCAATGCTAGAGGTTGAAGATGCGGACGGTGCCGGTATCTTTTTGGGGTTCGTCTCCGGCGTAGGCGAGGATGTACTTTGCAGGATGCCAAGCCAAGGTGTTGATCGTCGTTGATGCTGGCAGGGGGATTTTGTGGAGCGAATCCGGCTCGGTGTTGGGTTGGGTAGCATTGATAGCTATGAATCTATCCTCGCCCGCGGCGGCGAGGAGTTCGCCGTCGTGGCTGAATCCGATTGCGCGGGCGGGGAAGGTTAGGTCGGTGATCATCTTGTGAGCGAACCACTCCTTGGTGTCCCAGAGGGCGACCATTGAGTCGGAGGAAGCTGTGGCGATGTATCGCGAGAGGGGGTCCCATTGGAGGCAGAAGACGTTGGCGGTGTGTGTGGCGTGCGAGTGCACACGTGCATAGTCGACCGTCGTATGCAGATGCACCGACCCGGACCCTGAAGACAACAGCAACAAGGAACCGTCTGGCGAGAAGCAGAGTTCGTTGATTTCGTCGGTTGTTCCCACCACCGTTGTAGCTGAACACGCATCCGTTGGAGCGGTAGCACGTCTTGTACACACCGTGTGGACGATCCGATTCTGTCGTGTATCCACCACCGACACTGTATCCGTCTTGTCCCCGACGGCCAGATAATCGCCGCTTGGATGGTAGGCGATGTTGATGTTGGCCCCTGGCGTCTGCACGGTTGTTACGCCGTCTGTGTTCGTCTGTGCGCGCGCACGGGTATCCCAGATGCGCACCGTCTTATCCGCCGACGCCGTGGCCACGACATCCGCATGCGACGGATGCCACACCAGCTGGTCTACACTATCGCTGTGCCCTTTGAGCTCCGTCGACGCGCGTGCGTCCACCGACCGTTCCGGCACCCAGATACGCACGATACGATCCGCTCCACACGTTACCAGCTTCCGCCCATCGACCGACCACCCCAGCCCACGCACAGACTGCCGATGGCCCCCTCGAACCTCCTTGCTCTTGAGCGCCCCAAAGTTCGGCAGAGTCACCCCGCGTTCGCGCAGCGAAGCTACCAGCTGGGACGGACCGCCACTTGAACCAGAAGGCTTCGACCCCGGTGCCCCAACTGAGAGTGAGAGCGACATTGTAGGCCTGTAGACGATCGAAACTTGACGTTGGTCGTGAGCAAGTGTGCAAGGAGGGGCGAGTGTTGCAGAGTGGACCCCCGCAACCTCCACTCGCAAGCTGCACAAGGTTGGCTAGGGTCGAGATGCGCGACTGTCTCGTGCGAGAAAAAAAGCGCGAGAACGCTCGCAGGAAGAAATGTTGTTCTTTCTCCCGCCCTTTTGTGTTTTTTTTTTTT